TTTTTTTTTTTTTTTTTATATTTTGCCACGTCCTATAATTGGGAAATATATAAAATGATTCACTTTTGCAATTTGTTTTATTAGTTCAACAATGTAATCGTTTTAAGAAGATTTTGTTGGGATGTCTCGATTTGATATCGCTCGATTTTTATCCATGGAATCGCATTAAATTAATCGTGCATCGCAATAACGAGTGTACGAACAATTAAAAGGGAAAATATGATTTTGGTACTTGATGAAAAAAAAAAAAAAAAAAAAGAGGGGAAAAATAAAGGACGCAAAAATGCATTTGTTAAAATATTATTATTGCACCTCTTGCGAAACACTTCAACATTCTTTTAAAATCGTTTTTCACTGGTAATTTTATTCAACACCCGATAAATACCTCTTTGTAACAAAAAGGACAAGAGAGATGAATTTGTACAAAATATCATGGATGAAAAGGTTATCTCGCGTTTTATTCTTTAATTTGGTATTATTCGCGATTATAGAAATTATCTTCAATAATATTTCTTTTAAATTAAAAAAAATAAATTTGCAATATAATAATTCGAGAATTTTAAATTAAATAATGATGAATCATTGATTTTCGAATCCATATAACTTTTCAACGTTCGATATTTTTTCGTTCGAATTGTAGAGATAAATATTGCGAATTTAATAAATATAAAAAAAAAGGCATTTATCATGTTTCAACAAAAAGCAAAGTAAAAAATTGATTACTTTACCGTATACGCCTTGTTTCGCCATTCGAATTTTGTTTCAAATATTTTTTTTCACGATAAATTTTTGTCACGATGGTAAACGAGTAATTTAAAATCATCGAATCATCTTTTGTGTTTAAAATATTTAAATAAGGAGTGGAAAATTCTTCTCTGGAAATTTTATTTAGAATTTACTTATCTCAAAGGAGATCAAGTAAAACCACCGTTAAATCTACAAGTCTATCTCTCCAGGATCAAAAAAAAAAAAAAAAAAAAAACAGTGGGCATCGAACAAAGCCAGAAGATTTCACACAATTAAAGACGAGGTCTGAATGCACCGTCCGATGCGATTGCTTTCGAATCGATCTCTCAGGAGAAGAGTCAACCCTCGTAGAGGATAGGAACTCCACAGTGGATAGGAACCAGAAAGAAAATAGAGGTATCATACGAAGTATGATTATCACGGATCCTCGCGTTTGTTTTTCGTCGTTGTACCGTGTTTTACCGCACCGTGTAGGGTGAAGAATGGCAAAAGGGAACACGGAACGGGAGAAAAATTACGAAACAGCAAGAGTGTTCGTGAGAAATTTTAATAACCGTGAGGAGAGGGATACACGCGCCCTCCGGATATTTTTCCTTTTTTTTTTTTTTTTCACCGGAATGGTCGATCGACTTCCACACAACTCGATGGTAAATCGCACGACTCGGGTCGCACCTGGCCTCCTCTCGTATGTTCCTTCCCTCCACGGATGAACGCATTCGATGGATGCACGCTCTCTGATTAGTTTCCTCCTGGATGGAGAAAAGGTATTCTGTGCCTAGTGATCGCATTTTAAAACCGTGGCCTGTGAAAATGGGCCACAAATGCGCGCCAAAAGAAAAAAAGAGCTCCAAAGGAGGGGGAGATAAAAGTGCAACCGGGAACAGTTTATGTCCGCGTAGGAATTTTTCGCAGCTTCCAACCGAGCTGCCTCGCCGGGTTGCATACGTCAGGGGTTACGGGTGGGATAAAAGGAAGGGGGGCGTTAAGAGCAGTTATATACGTTAGGATAGAATGGAGGTGTTGACGCGATGAATGTCGATAATACGTAATGAAATGTCATCGATAATTTGATTATTATATCGATAAAATATTTTTATTCTATGTTCATCTAAAGTATTTTTCTAAATTTTCTAAATTCATTTTGAATAATTTTCTTATAATTAGAGATTTATTTCTTAAAATTAAAGATTAGTTAATATGCGATAATAAAATTAATCTTTGTCTGAAATAATTAGAAACCGAAATATTATTTTCGATCGAAGGGAATTTAGATTGTAGAAATGAATGGTATTATTCTTTGATCTTTTTTTTTCTCTAGAAGGTATAAATCTTGTTTGTGCGCCGTTTGGAAATAAAGAAGGGAATGATGGATGTATTTAGCTGTTGTCGTGTATCACGTGAGCGAAAAACAACACGAAAACAGGGGATTTCGATGATGTTTGATGAAGATGGGATCAGAAAGATTTGTTGAAAACGGTATTGAAGAGTCTAGTTTATTGCCCAACAATTTACAGGCAAATATTGCACTATACACTATGCTCGTGTGATAGAAACGTGCAATGCGATTTTCTAATAGATGCAATATCTTACAACAAAGACAATTCAATCTTCTCGCAACCTATATCTCTAAGAAACGGCAATAGGAAAAGACACCGTAAAAAGAAAGCAGCCTTAATAGGAAACCTTGATTGCATCTCTTTTTTTGCACGTGTTCATTCGTTCACCCGATTATTCGTTCTTTTGTCGACTTCATCGAAGAACACTGGAAGGGCAAGAGAGAAAAGAAATATACTCGGCCAGGCGGTTAAGGGACGTAAGTAGCAAGGGAGTCCACCTGGTGTCCCTTGTATTGCATCCTCGTAAGGTATTTGCTTGTGGCTATTGACGCTGGCTCGGCCTCTCGACCGTGTACGTCAGAGAGAGAGAGAGAGAGAGAGAGAGAGAGAGAGAGAGAGAGAGAGAGAGAGAGATTGCATTCTCGCGAGCGGTCGAATTAAGCGGTCGTAGGGCGCGAACCACGGTGGAAAAGCCGGAGGGCTATAAATACAAG